CCACTTGTTTCAACCACAACTTGTATTTTTATAAATGTAGTCTGATTATAGTATTTGTAAGATGCTGTTTTGAACCACAATTTTCATCCTCCTTTTTAAAACAAACCAAACTATAACCATATTTGTTGGGCTCTGTACCAACCGGTTCTTACACTTGTGAAAACATGATTTGTTGGCCAGTGTACCTCTGCAGTACTTCATTATAATGCTGTTTTGTCTAAAACGTATTTAATGCTTCTGCCATTTGGATACTCTTGGCCATATTGCGGTTTTGATAATTCAGTAATGATGCAGACACATTGTGCAAGGGTTCTGCTTTTGTCTGCCTTTTTAAGCTTGGTCTGTCATGTATAATGTTTCTCTTTTTAAACCAGTTACACAAAGACATTGAGTCCAAAGACGAACAGATAACAAAGCTCAAGTGTGAAAATGAAGAGCTGCATGAGCTGGCACAACACGTACAGTACATGGCTGATATGATTGAGGTAGGTACGCTGCTATTACAGTCTGTTAAGTAAACTTGAAACAAAGCAGACTACCCTGTGGGAGCTCTCTGGGTAAATGAGCAAACTTGATGCTGTTTGGTTTTTTTAGAGACTGACTGGGAAGGGCCCAGACAATCTGGAGGAACTAAGAGAAATGGCCCTTGATGTGGATAAAGATGACGAAGATGACAGTGAAGTGGAAGAGCAGAGTGAGGATGAGGACTCGGATTACAGTCAGTGCGATACAGAGGAAGAAGACACCTCAGACCATGAAGTAGTTGGACCCTCAGGAGAGCAAGACTGACCCAAATCTGTCTGTCATGGGACTTTGATTTGCTTAAGCAGGTCAGCTGATTTTGACAGCAACAAGTGGCATCCATTTAAATGGGCTTTTCAAAATAATTTATGTACTTGTTGTTTATGGCCTGTAATTTTTATATTTTTAAACCTTGAACAGACGGACTGGCTTCTTTTTGAAAGTATTTTTGCTTTCGTCAGTTCAAGTAAAGGGGCCATTAAAACTAAGCACGTCTAAGACCTTGTCACAGCAGACATTTTGACATGTCTATGTAGGAGAACAGGTGTTAATGACAAAATTGTAGCTGAATTTCTTTTTAGTCACTCCAGTTTAAAGGTCCTGGTATTGTGCATGCTGACTCACAGCTTGGGTTTTTATTTGTTTTTGTTTTTTTATCAGATTATTTGAAGGCTAAACTATCAGCCAGCTGCTTTTCTTTAGTTTGCTTCCAGTTAACAGGGAAATGACACCTGTGCTTGCCTTGCTATTAAAGGTCAAAATGTGTGCTGTGAAAAGTCTTGATGGTGCTATATTCACTGCCAGATGTGGCCTAGAGCATGGTCCGCAAGTGTTTTGGTTTACACTGTAAAACTGTACTATGTTATGCCAATATTATGTACATAAAGCGTCTGTAAAATAAACACTTTTAAAAAAAATCTTACTTTGAATTGTTATGCATATGAGCCTTGTTGCTCAGTAAAATGTGACTGTGCTCACCATGCCCTTGCAGAGTAGTTGCTGCGCCTCCAGCTTTTCCATAAAGCTGCTTGACTCAGCATGTACAGATGCGTCTCAATAAATTAGAATATCATAACAAAGTTAATTTATTTCAGGAATTCAATTCAAAAAGTGAAACCCGTAGCATAGATTCATTACACACAAATATTTCAAGCCTTTATTTCTTTTGATGATTATGGCTTACAGCTAACAAAACCCAAAATTCAGTATCTCAGAAAATTAGAATATTTCATAAGACCAATACATTTTAATACAGAAATGTCGGCCTACTCAAAAGTATGTTCATATATGCACTCAATACTTGGTC